CTGATCACGCAGTCGCGCGTTAGTTTGCTCCGGGGCAAACAGCCACGCCCCCCCCCCCGCCCCCTTTTCCTGCCCGTGTGGCCGAGGCCTTTGAACACTGAATCCAGAGTCCTCTGTTCCTCCTAGTTTTAAGAGTGTGGAGGTGGGCCCCACCTCTGAAACTAACTTTCCCAGCTTGAATATGTTGGGCTATAACCCTTTGCAACTGAGCGTGGATCTTGCCCGCTTGCAAAACTGTTGCATTTTGATAACCAGTAGAAAAAGTTACAGTGGAACAGGAAGACAAGATTGTTCCCTCTCTTAAGTTACAACTAAAGTCTATCCATTTTAATGTTAGAAATGAAAGAAAAGTAACTCCTAAGTTCTGGGGCACGTTGTTTGTAGTAGAATTGTGTCTGCTTTTGAAGTCACATAGTTGAGTGCATTAAGAGCAATATATTAAGTTCTTAGTTGGCAAAAGCATGGTTGAATAAGATGGCTGTTTTCTCTCTTCCCTCTCTCAACTCCTAGATAATTTGTACAGGTTTTTTCCGCCTCCTTAGCCACTACTATACAGCAAGCTTTGACAACATAGTTCGCCGCTGCATGATACAAAAGGAGAAATCTGAAAAAATGGACTGAACGTGAGCACTGCTTAAACAAGTTAATTTGCTGCTAAATGGGACTCCCTTTCTGGCCTGAATAAGGCTCATATGAATAGACGGTGTGCATGACAGGAGGTGTGGTCCCCTGTGGTGAAGGAAGGAAATAAATGTACAGCACTAGAAAATGAGGTTATGCAGAAGCGCTAATGAAGAAGACTGCACACACACACACACACACCCGTGCTTTGAACTAATAAGCAGATTGTTGCCTTAGAAATGAGCCTTTTGAAGGGGCAGAACTTCAGTGGCCTCTTTGCTATCAGCTTTGGATCATTATTAATTTACCCCTTTGTTAGCAGTGGGGAAGGATTGATTCAGTGACCTATATCTTAATCTAAGGGCTGGTTCTGATGCGTTTTGTGACTTCCCACACACAAGTGTCCCACCTCAGATTTCATAAGGAGGGGGTGATGTACTTACCATTGAAATGAATCATGTGATTGCTGCTTGGGACGTAGCCTCCTTATGTGAATTGTGGTTGGTCAACTTACAGGGGAAGTAGCCAAGTGTGAGTTTCAGAGTTGGCAGAAAAAATGGTAATCCGAGTGTGTGGCTTTGATGCAGGAGGGATTTTTAAGTGAGCACTGCTCCCCTCGAAATCCGAGGTGTTACAAAAATTGAGTGAAAGGACATCACCGTTTCAGAGAATAAATATTTGAAATGCCCTTAAGAATGCAGCCCTGGAGATTAATTTGGGTTTCCTCCTACCCAGTCTTTAGGGTGTTGTCTAACACTGGATATCTTGACTAACCTTTCCCACTCCTGATGGTATACAGTAACTTTTGTGAAGTATTCCCCATATTGTATTAACCAAGCACTATATTATGTAATATATGGAAATCCTTGATGGCAGAACTGTACCTGCATGATCCTAAGTTCTCAGTGTAGGAGTAATGAAGTATGCTTTTAGCAATTGTGTATCTTAAAGGGAAATGAAGGAACTTTTTCTTCACTGAGCAATATTAGGAGAATATTTCTGTCCATGACAAAGGAAATCCAGTTTAAGCAGTTAGAATTAGAAGTGTTTTGTATATGTCTTCATTATGTGTAACTTCATGTTTGTCTCTGTCGGCTGTGTAAGAGAGGTGGCTTTTATGCTGCTGTAATTCAGACTTTAGAAATGCGAACGAGCCAGTCAAATACTAGATTTTACTACAGTTAAATGTAGCTCAAGGAAGTGCTAGGGTCCTTCTTTGGTGGCAGAGTAACTTTCAAGACGGTCCTTACTGTGTTACTCCCCAGATGTCAGTTCGCTTACTGCATACAATCTGGGTTCAGAAGAAGCCAGCACCAGTAGCATTTACTTACCTTCTATATGAATGAAGACTGGTTCCTGTTTAGGTCCAGATTTCATATCCCCTCAGTGCCCAGTTCCTAATGAAAATTCTTGCTATACCCTGACATTATTTAAGTGCCTAAGATTAATCTTTCTCGCAACAGCCTCAACTTTTACATTTATTTAGTAGGAATACACAAAAAAATAGAAGTAGTTGAATTCTATTTTTTTTTACATGTCCTCCATAGATCATCTTTTGGGGCCAGATCATTCCCACCAAGTTCAACTTAATTAGCAAGTCTTCCAAATATTAATAGATGTTTAGATTCTTATAGTTTTACACCGTTAACCAGAGAGATGCTGAGTGGCCATATTCACTTCTGGGTTCTTGTGCACAGGTCTTGGGTTTTCTAAATGCTGTGTAAGCGAACCTGTATATTGCCAACCTTAACTATGCGCTTGAGCTGTTCTGGCACTTTGAGGGACTCTGTCCAGAGGACTGTGTAATTGGCCTTGGTGACTTCTGCTAGCTTTCATGTTAAGGGGACAGACACTGGAAGTTAGCAAGTTAATTTGCAGTTGCCTTGGAAATCAGCAGCTTTGCATGTGCTCCTTAGAACATCTTTATGGGAAGCATTGAAGCAGAGTTTGCTGTCCTCTGCTACATTGAACTTTGTTCATGCATGTACTGGGAATGATTTTTTTTTTACAGCTCCAGACTATTCTGATTGGCTAGCAGGTTAACTGGGTCAGATTCTGAAATACTTTAAAGCAAGTGAGAAGTGCCAGATACTTTAAGGGGCCACTCAGACATCTGCTTTTCACCACTCCTGACGGTTAGCTGCTTTGCATGTTTAATTTTAATGGGAGAAAGCAAAGGATATTGAGCTCTCATGCTGAAATCGACAGGACTTAAGCATGCCTGTCTGACCAGATCACATCGTTGGTTGTTTTCTTTGCTTGTCACATGTCCAGGTTTGCTTCAGCTCTAAATGCTAAACTTAGTCTGTTATTTAGAGTTTTGGATCATGTTCAGATTTAATAGTGTGCTAAAGAAAAAAGAAGGAAATGAGTAATTATCCTAAAATTGTTGACTGTGAAACATTAGGCACTTTTGAGTGTTAATACTGAACATGGCTAAAACCCACATTCCATTTATGGTTGTTGCTTAACAAAGTACTGTGCTGAACTTGTAAATGTCAATGTTTTGTATTTCACAAAATAAATTGAGAAAAGTTGTATTTAAATTCTTCTGAATATTTCTTTAGAACTGATTTAAAGTACCATTCTGTGGTCCTGATATGTTTTTACTAAATTGTCACAGAATTATGTTCAAACACTTTGAAAGTGTTGGTCTTCTTTACAGGTTAAAGAATTATTGCAAACTCCTTCATATGTACTTTCTGGCATGACTTTGGGTCAGTCATAAGTTCTTTCAGAGCTATTCTCTCAAGAGCAGTTCTTGAGAGAGCTCTCTCATCCCCACCTACCTCAGAGGGTGTCTGTTGTGGGGAGGGGAAGGGATTGTAAGCTGCTTTGAGACTCCTTCGGGTACTGAAGGGTGGAGTATAAATCTCCTCCTCCTGCCCCCTGAACATCGGTTCAAGGGCTCTGAACTGGGCCAAGTTTGTGCCAAATTTTGGCTCATGAACCAGTTCATTGCTCATCCCTACTGAGCAACTCAAAAAGAGGCTGCAGCTTTCAGAGGTGGTCACTGCCTGTCTGGAAATGTAGAAAAGGAATCT